CTTAACATCAAAAGGTCACCAAATACACACAGGCCGAGGTAAAGGTTCCGCTCTCAGCCTGTTCGAACTGGACAACAACTGACCCTGTTCCTGAGAAACAACGGAAGCAACGATTACCCGTGGTGGCCCATACATCAGAGATGTTACCTATAAGGAACTAGTGGGACTTCTGTCTGTTTTTGAGATGGAGTTTCGCTCTTGTTGCCCAGGCTGGAGTGCAGTGGTGGGATCTTGGCTCACCGCAACCTCTGCCTTCTGGGTTCAAGCGATTCCCCTGCCTCAGCCTCCTGAGTAGCTGAGATTATAGGTGCCCGCTACCACGCCCAGCTAATTTTTTGTATTTTTAGTAAAGATGGGGTTTCACCGTGTTGGCCAGGCTGGTCTCGAACTCCTGACCTCGGGTGATCTGCCTGCTTCGGCCTCCCAAAGTGCTGGGATTACAGGTGTGAGCCACTGCGCCCAGCCACCAAACGCTTTTTGCTATAAGAAATTCCGTCCAGCCTAGGAGTCTCCCAAAGAAACACAACCCGGTACCCCAGGTGCGGCCAATGACTGAAGGTAGGTGTGTAGGTGGCTTAACCCATTCTTGGGTGTGGATCACTGAGTTGAGTGCTCTCTACACTGCTCCCCTAAGGCCCCTAGCAGGACTGAGCACGGGTTGCCCCCAGTGTCACCTGCTCATTGGTGCCCCCTGCAGGGCACCTTCCCTCCTTGTCTCAGCTCTCATCTGCCATGGTGCTTCCTGGGGTTATGTCCTAGGTAGCTCTGAGTCCTTTTGGGGTCATCTTTGGGGGCAGCCTATCCAAAAAGGAATAGAAATGCCAGGTATGCCTGCAAATAGATCATATGGATTTATACCACTTACTCTCACCCATCTTTGATCTTCCATAATCTGACAAGTAAAAAAATGGTATCTGGACCAGGTGCAGTGGCCCATGCCTGCAATCCCAGCACTTTGGGAGGCCAAGGCAGGCAGATCACTTGAGGTCAAGAGTTCGTGACCAGCCTGGCCAATATGGTGAAACCCTGTCTCTACTAAAAATACAAAAATTAAGGCTGGGCAGGGTGGCTCACGCCTGTAATCCCAGCACTTTGGGAGGCCAAGGTGGGCGGATCACCTGAGATAGGGAATTCAAGACCAGCCTGATCAAGATGGAGAAACCCCATCTCAAAAAAAAAAAAAAGCTACAAAAATTAGCTGGGCTCGGTGGCGTGCACCTGTAATCCAAGCTACTCAGGAGGCTGAGGCAGGGGAACTGCTTGAACCCAGGAGGCAGAGGTTGCAGTGAGCTGAGATCATGCTGCTGCACTCCAGCCTGGGCAACAGAGCAAGACTGCCTTTCAAAAAAAAGACCAGGCATGGTGTCTCACACCTGTAATCCCAGCACTTTGGGAAGTCCAGGCAGGTGGATCAGGACAGCACTTTGGGAAGTCCAGGCAGGTCAGGAGTTCAAGATCAACCTGACCAACATGGTGAAACCCCATTTCTACTAAAAATACAAAAGTTAGCTGGGCATGGTGGTGCACACCTGTAGTCCCAACTACTCAGGAGGCTGAAGCAAGAGAATCACTTGAACCCGGGAGGCAGAGGTTGCAGTGAGCCAAGATGACACCACTGTACTCCAAACTGAGCAACAGAGCAAGACTCCATCTCAAAAACAAAACAAAAATAGATATATCTCACAATTTATCACTGCCTGGTTGGTTGGCTGGCTGGCTAGTTGGTTGATTTTTTCCTCCAGTCTAGCTTACAGCTCTTTCCTTTTAAGAATAGCTCATTTGCAGGCTGGGTGCAGTGGCTCACGCCTGTTATTCCAGCACTTTAGGAGGCTGAGGCAGTTGGATCACTTGAGCTCACAAGTTCAAGACCAGCCTGTGCAGCATGGTGAAACCCTCTCTCTAGAAAAAATACTGGGCATGATGGCATGTGCCTGTAATTACCACTACTTTGGAGGCTGAAGTGGGAGGATGGCTTGAGCCTGGGCGGTAGAGGCTGTAGCGAGTTGAGATGGCACCATTGCATCCCAGCATGGGTGACAGAGCAAGAACTTGTCTCAGAAAACAAACAACAAATTTATGGCCAGGCATGGTGGCTCACACCTGTAATCCCAGTTCTTTGGAAAGCTGAGGCAGGAGTATCACTTGAGACCGGGAGTTTGAGACCAGCCTGGGCAACATAGTAAAACCCTGTCTCTACAAATAATTTTTTTTTTTTGGTGGGACAGGGTTCTCACTCTGTCACCCAGGCTGGAGTGCAGTGGCACACTCGCAGCTCACTGCAGCCTCAATTTCCCAGGCTCAAGTGATCCTCCCACCTCAGCCTCCCAAGTAGCTGGGACTACAGGTGCAGACCACTGCACCTGGCTAATTTTTGTATTTTGTAGAGACAGGGTCTTGCTATGTTGCCCAGGCTGATGTTAAATTCCTGGGCTCAAGAGATCTGCCCACCTCAACTTCCCAAATTGTTGGGATTACAGGCAGGAGCCACAGTACCTGGCCCTCCACAAATAATTTAAAAAAATTTTAAATATATTTATTTTTTGAGACAGAGATGTTTTTTGCTCATTGCCCAGGCTGGAGTGCAATGGCGCGATCTCGGCTCACCACAATATCCACCTCCCAGGTTCAAGCAATTCTTCTGTGTCCATCTCCCAAGTAGCTGGGATTACAGGCATCCGCCACCACACCTGGCTAATTTTGTATTTTCAGTAGAGATAGGGTTTTTCTTTTTTTTTCTGCTTTTTTTTTTTTTTTTTTTTTAATAAAGACGGTTTTACCATGTTGGCCAGGCTGATCTTGAACTCCTGACCTCAGGTGTTCCGCCTACCTCGGCCTCCCAAAGTGCTGGGATTACAGGCGTGAGCCACTGTGCCTAGTGGTTTTTCTTTTTTTCTATGAGTTCTGTGAGCTTTTTCCCCCTTTTCATTTTCTTTCAGCTTGTCTGGAAATGGTTCATTCTGTTTGTTCTTCCACAAGGTGTCGCAGCATCAGCACTGCTGACATTTGGTACTGATCGACCTCTGGGGTGAGGCCGTCCTGGGCACCACAGGGTGATAAGCAGCTCCCTGGCCTCCCCTCTTCAGACACCAAGAGCAGCACCCCACCCCCCGTGGTGACAACTAAAAAATTTATCCAGGCCAGGCATGGTGGCTCACGCCTGTAATCCAAGCACTTTGGAGGCCAAGGCGGGCGGATCACCTGAGGTCAGGAGTTCAAGACCAGCCTGACCAACATGGCGAAACCCCATCTTTATAAAAAAGAAAAAAAAAATTTATCCAGACATCAACATGTGTTCCTGTGGGCAGAACACCCCTCCTGTGAGAGGCATGGATGTGGTGCTTACAACCGATGCATCAACAAAAAGTATTTGGCTGGGTGCAGTGGCTCAGGCCTGTAATCCCAGTACTTTGGGAGGCCAAGGCAGGTGAAGCATTTGAAGCCAGTTTGACACCACACTGGCCAACATGGTGAAACTCCGTCTCTACTAAAAATACAAAAACTAGCCAGGTGAGGTGGTGCATACCTGTAATTCCAGCTACTCGGGAGGCTGAGGCAGGAGAATCGCTTGAACTTGGGAGGTGGAGGTTGCGGTGAGCCGAGATTGCAGCACTGTACTTCAGCCTGGGCCACAGAGTGAGACTCTTACCTCAAAAAAAAAAAAAAATTAAAATAAAATAAAATATTTATCTTCCCTCTGAACCACACAAAGACCTCAGCCACCCCCTCCATCTTTCTATTTTTTTCTCGTGGTTCTAATTTTTCTCCTTATACTGCTTTTTATTTTTATTTTCATTTTTGTTTCATATTTTTGAGACAGAGTCTTGCTGTCTTCAGGCTGGAGTGCAGTGGTGCAATCATAGCTCACTGCAGCCTCAACTTCCTGGGTTCAAGAAATTCTCCTACCCCTGCCTCCTGAGCAGCCAGGACTACAAGTGTGGACCACCACACCTGGCTAATTTTTGGATTTTTTATAGAGACGGGGTTTCACTATGTTGCCCAGGCTAGTCTCAAACTCCTGAGTTCAAGTGATCCTTCCACCTCAGCCGTCCAAAGTGCTGGGATTACAGGCAAGTGCCATTGTGCCTGGCCATATTTTCCTTTTTTAGAGACAGGGTGAAGTTCTGTCAACCAGGCTGGAATACAGTGGCGAGATAACTCACTGTAGCCTCAAACTCTTGGGCCCAATGGATCCTCCAGCCCCAGCCTTCCAAGTAGCTAGCACCACAGGTGTGTGCCACCATGCCCAGCAAATTCCTTATTTTGGGGAAAGACAGGGTCTCCCTATGTTGCCCAAGCCAGTCTTAAACTCCAGGCCTCAAGCCATCCTCCCATCTCAGCCTCCCAATGTGCTGGGATGAGAGGAATAAGCCACCACGCCCAGCCTGAATCCTTGTGTTTAATATATTTTTCATTTTTATCCACATAACCGAAGTGCAAATTTCAGAAGTCACACGCCACTCAAAGGGCACTTCCTGATGCCTGTTCTGGGGGCCACTGCATGTTAGTGTTTTCTGTGTGTGACAGGGTCTCACTCTGTCATCCAGGCTGGACTGCACTGATGTGATTCTGGATCAATGCAGCCTCAAACTCCTGGGCTCAAGAGATCCTTCTGCCTCAGCTTCCCAAGTAGCTGGGAATACAGGTGTACACCACCATGCCCAGCTAATTTTTTTTTTTTTTTTTTTTTTTGGTATTTTTTAGTAGAGATGGGGCTTCACCATGTTGACCAGGCTGGTCTGGAACTCCTGGCCTCAAGTGATCCGCCCGCCTTGGCCTCCCAAAGTGTTGAGATTTGGGATTACAGGCGTGAGCCGCCGTGCCCGGCCTCCTCGCTTTCCTTTCTCCTCCCACCTTTGCTCCTCTCAGTCCTGCTTCGCTCCCCTCGGTCCTGCTCTGCTCTCCCTCCCGCGCAGCCCCCACTCTGCACCAGGGCAGGTGCCACAGGGATGTGCAGGCGGCTACCACCCCATACGCACCCAGGTCCCAAACTCCTCAGACCGTTTGTAAAAATCGGTGTGATCCTTTTATTTGTTCAGAAGAGCAGCCAGCAGCACCCCCGTTACTCAAACCTGGCACACACACTTTGGAGACAATGGCCTCGGGACCCTCCCGCTGCTGGGTCCAGGACAGACAGTTCTGAGGCAGAAACTCGGCGTCCAAGGGGGGCCGCGGCTCAGGCACTGCGGTGAAGGGGACGGCGAGGAGTCCGGCCTCACCTTGCAGCTGGGGACACCGGGGCACACATACAGCGGGTAGGCTCATGTCCTGCTGGCCCAGGACCAAACCTCAGGGCCCCAGGAGGGTCTGCAGGCAGCTAGGAGCCCGCCAAGTGCTGGTGGAAGTAGAGGCCGAAGAGGCTGGACAGCAGCTGGCAGGCAGCTGTCCACCAGATGAGGTAGGCCAGGACGCCGCGGAGGAAGAGGGGCGTGAGCAGGCCGCCCAGGGCCGCAGCGATCCGCGCTGCAGTCTGCTGGACCTCATCCTCCTCGGGGCCGATGGGGGCAGCGCTGGCTGAGGATGGGTCGGGGGATAGTAGAGGGGCTGGGCCCAGGCCCCAGGAATAGCCTCCTGGGAGAAGAGGATGAAGTAAGGCGTGAGTAGAGAAATGGGGGGAAGCGGGGGAAGGAGGGGGGGCAGGGCTGGCACAGGGAGTCGGGCCCATTCCTCCAGACCCTCCTACCCCTGCCTCAGACTCCACCTCCTGCCCAGTCTCCACCCCCTCAGGCGTTGCCACCTGTCCAAGGCAAGCCGCACCCCAGGCCCCACCTCCTGCTCAGACCCTGCCTCACTACAAGCCCTGCCCCCTCCCCAGGCCCCACCTCCTGCTAACACCCAACCCCTCCCCAGGCTCCACCTCCTAAGGCAAACCCCACCCCGAGCTCCACTTCCGGCTCAGAACCGGCCTCACCACAGTCCCCGCCCCTTTCCCAGGCCCTGCCTCCTGCTCAGCAGCACCCCTCCCCAGGCTCCACCTACTGTACAAGGCAACCCCACCCGAAGCTCCACCTCCTGCTCAGACCCTGCCTCACCAAGGCCCGCCCCCTTCCCAGGCCCCGCCTCCTGCCCGGTCCCTGCCAGACTCCACTTCCGCGCTGTTCTATCTTCCAGCCCCGCCCCTCCTCCACTCCACACCGCAGCATCGTCTCACCCAATGTCTTGAGCAGGAGCGTACAGTTGAGGGTGAGGATGAGCGGCGTCAGGTACTGCAAGCTCACCACAGTCACGTAGCAGTAGACCCGGACCACCTGTGGGGAGGTAGCAGCGGTGGCTGTGACAGGAGGCCTTCTGTATTTGGGAAGACTGCACGCCCAAAGGACCAGGAGCCCCGCCATGAGCCCCAAGTTCCCTCTGGCCCAGGTCATCGGGGCGTCCATACCCTCCGCTGGATTTCACGGGCTTCGATGCGGCCAGCCTCCCTTCGCAGCTGCTCCACGCGGGCCTTGGCCAGGCACAGGTAGGCCTGCAGGTGGGGCCGGGTCACCGCCAGCCTCAGCAGGCACAGCACCACCAGCAACCAGAGGCGCCCAGAGTCAAAGGCAGAGTCGGACAGCCTGTGTTGAGTGGGGCGGGGGCAAGGGGGGTAAGAAGGCAGCCCCCAATCCCCCAGGATTTTCCCCGGGCTCCTCCATGAGTCTCAGTGGCTGGGGCACCCAGGGGAGCCCAGCTACCTCCTGGCCCCACCCCATACGCACAGGGAGAAGGGCGTCTCCCCAAAGGGTGGCTGGTGCAGGAAGTCCCGTGCAATGGGCTTTGTCCAGAGCCACAGGATGAACAGGGGAGACAGGAAGCTGGTGTGCAGGAGGAACCTGGGGGGTGAAGGCAAGAGAGTGAGGCCCGGGCACCCTTAGGTTCCCTAATCCCCCCACCCACCAAGCGACCCACTTAACTGTAGCATGGGCCGGTCCTCTGACATGGTCAGTGCATCCCGATGGGTCTGGGCCAGCCGCAGGCCTGGGAAGGTGAGGAAGGCACCCAGCACAGAGCCCACCACCGCCAGCCCCACGCGGATAGCCAGCTTAGCCACAGGGAGCCTAGAAGAACAGCAGGTCACAAGACTGGCTGGGGGACCCTGGGAGGGTCCCAGCCGGCCCTGGTACCCCTCCCCCATACCCAGGACTCACGCCCAGTCCCAGCCTTGCTTCTTCAGAAGTGGCTCCAAGTTCTGGGTCATGCTGGCCAGGCCTGGGAAAGATAAGAAGAGGACCGAGTAGAGTGAATTCCTAGGGTTTCTAAGGCCACTGTGTTCCCTAACCTCCATCCCTCAAGCATCAGTTTGCTCCCCAAGTAGGAATGCACCATGGTCTGCCAGGCCCTGTGCCAGGTACAAGGACAACTTTGTGCTCTAGTTATGCAGCACTCTTCACAAGAAACAAGGCTGGCGTGGTGGCTCACACCTGTAATCCCACCACTTTGGGAGGCCAAGGTAGGTGGATCATCTGAGGTCAGGAGTTTGAGACCAGGCTGGCCAACACAGTGAAACTCCATCACTACAAAAAATACAAAAATTGGCCAGGTGTGGTGGTGAGTGCCTGTAATCCCAGCTACTTGGGAGGCTGGGGCAGGAAAATCACTTGAACACAGGGGGCAGAGGTTTCAGTGAGCCGAGACTGCACCATTGTACTCCAGCCCGGGGGACAAGAGTGAAATTCCATCTCAAAGAAAAAGGAACAGAATGCATGAGGCAGACACTCCTGACTGGGCTGGGAACATTCAGGGGATCTGTTGAGCCTTAGCTCCCTAGGTTACAGAATGAATCTGGAGGGAGATGAAGGACTCCCGCAGGAGAAAACCAAAGTCCTCCTGGAGGAAGGAATCCTCAATTCAGGACCCAAGATTTTCCAAAAATTAAGGGCACAGTAAATCCCAGCACTTTGGGAGGCAAAGGCAGGTGGATCACTTGAGCTCACGAATTCGAGACTAGCCTGGGCAACGTGGAAAAACCCCCATCTCTACAAAAAATATAAATTAGCCAAGCATAGTGGTGCATGCCTGTAGTCCCAGCTACTCTGAAGGCTGAGGTGGGAGGATGGCTTGAGCCCAGGATGTGGAGGTTGCAGTGAGCTAAGATCATGCCACTGCAGTCCAGCACAGAGTGAGACCTTTCTCAAAAAAAAAAAAAAAAAAAAAAAAAAAAAATTCAACCACATTAAAAAGCTGTGTCACGTGGGAAAAAAATTTAAAAATAAAAAAAAGGGAGCAAATTCATATGAGCTTACAGCCAAAATCATCAAATGCATAAGGAACAAGTCACCATAAAGGAGAGTTAACAGAAAGACAATAGTCAAGTTTAGGCCTCAAAGACTTCAGAAATTGGCACTGTCAATTATGTGTCAAATGATTAAGGAAATGAAAGCTGGAATTACAGAACAGGTGACATAAGACTTCCTTCCAAAGACTGGGTAGAGTTGCAAAGGAACTCTATTAAACTCTTCTAAAGGGAAAATATAAGTATTGAAATAATAGGTTGTTAAACAGCAAATTAGAAACAGCCAAAGGAGGAACTGATGAACTGGAAGACAGATCTGAAGAAATCACTCAGATTCCAACTCAGAAAAACAAGTAGGTAGAAAATATGGAGAGGCTAAGAGATAAGAAAAATAGAACAGAAAGCCCACTGCAAATCAAATCAGAGCCCCAAATGGAGGGAAGAGGAGGAATGAAGAATAAAAGGAACTACTGAAAGAAAATGGTTGAGAAGTTTGCAGAATGAGTGACACACACAAAGTGTATCAAACCATGTAAATAAAAAGAAATCCATACCTAGACACAATGGAGTCAAACTGCAGAACACCAAAAACAAAGAAATCACAAAGCAGCCAGGGAGTTAAAGACAGATCACCTATAAAGGAACAACAATTAGGATGACAGCCAATGTCAACTGCAACAACAGAAAAAGAACAAATAGCAAAAAAGTAAGATGGAAAAACAAAGTCAACTATGTCAGTAATCACAGTAAATGTAAATGGACTAAACTTTAAAGTTAAATGACAAAGACTGTCAGACTACATTGAACATATCCAGCTATATGTTTTTTAAAGGATGACAGACCTTGACATAAAGTCACTGAAGGGTGAAAGTAAAGGGATGTTAAAAAGATACAGCAAATACTAATCAGAAGAAAGCAAGCTAGAAAGCCTATACTACTACCAGCCAAACTAGACAAAGAAGTACTAGAAGATAGAAGGGGTCAATATATCATGATAAAATGGATTCACCAGGAAAATCTAGTAGTTCTAAATCTGTGAACACCTTGTGAATAGACTATAAAACATATAAAGAAAACAATGACAAAATTGGATAGAGAAATTGGGAACTCTCTTGTCCAAGAGGGAGATTAATTTCTGCTGACCCTTATGTCACAGACAAAAGGTTAGGCAAGATGGAGATTTAAATTTATTAAACTCATAGAGCCAGGCTCTATGAGGATTTAGCTGTTCTAAAATCCAGGGGTCTTAGCCACACCAAAGGAGAAGGATAAGAAAGGACAAGAGAAAATCAAAAAGAATCTGCAATTCAGTAAAAATATAATTCTTTAGCAAGGTTACTCCATGGACATGCTCAAATTTGCCTCCTACATCATATCACAAAAATTGTCACTGTCAGTGAGGGGTTTAGGGGCTTATATGAAATGTAAAATTAATTCATTTAATTAATTTATTTATTTGGGACAGAGTCTTGCTTTGTCACCCAGGCTGGAGTGCAGTGGCGAAATCTTGGCTCACTGTAACCTCCACCTCCCCAGTTCAAGTGGTTCTCCTGCCTCAGCCTCCTGAGGAGCTGGGACTACAGGCATTCACTACCACCCACGCCTGGCTAATTTTTGTATTTTTAGTAGAGATGGGGTTTTACCATGTTGGCCAGGATGGTCTCAACCTCTTGACCTCGTGATCTGCCCACCTTGGCCTCCCAAAGTGCTAGGATTACAGGTGTGAGCCACTGCGCCTGGCCTTTATTTTTTTTAAGATGGAGTCTTGCTCTTGTCGACAGGCTAGAGTGCAATGGCACAATTTCAGATCACTGCAACCTCCACCTCCTGGGTTCAAGCTATTCTCCTTCCTCAGCCTCCTGGAGTAGCTGAGATTGCAGGTGCCTGCCAACATGCCCAGGCAATTTTTGTATTTTTAGTAGAGACGGGGTTTCACCATGTTGGCCAGGCTGGTCTTGAACTCCTGACCTCAGGTGATCTACCTGCCTCGGCTTCCCAAAGTGCTGGGATTACACGTGTGAGCCACCATGCCTGGTCAAAATATTTTAGAAGAAAATATAGAATGAGTTTTTGATTTTAGGGAAGGATATTTCCCAAGACAAGTATTAACTAAAATAATCAACTTCCATTCATCAAGACACTAGAGGTGATGCTTACAACTACATTCAATGGCTTAGCAAAGAAAGTGTGGATGTCTGCAGACAGAAAATAATGCAAATAGTGGTCAAATGAAAAGAAAGAGAAGGCCGGGCGTGGTGGCTCAAGCCTGTAATCCCAGCACTTTGGGAGGCCGAGGCGGGTGGATCACGAGGTCAAGAGATCAAGACCATCCTGGTCAACATGGTGAAACCCCGTCTCTACTAAAGATACAAAAAATTAGCTGGGCATGGTGGTGTGTGCCTGTAATCCCAGCTACTACTCAGGAGGCTGAGGCAGGAGAATTGCCTGAACCCAGGAGGCGGAGGTTGCGGTGAGCCGAGATCACGCCATTGCACTCCAGCCTGGGTAACAAAAGCGAAACTCCGTCTCAAAAAAAAAAAAAAGAAAAGAAAAAGAAAACAAGTATCGGCGATGACGTGGAGAAATTTGGAACACTTATGAACTGCTGCTGGGAATATAAGATATAAAATGGGCCAGGCACAGTAGTACACGCCTGTAATCCCAGCACTTTGGGAGACTGAGGCAGGACGATTGCTTGAGTCCAAGAGTTCGAGACCAGCCTGGCCAACATAGCGAAACACTGTCTCTACTAAAAATACAAAAATTAGCTGGGTGTGGTGGCACATGCCTGTAATTGCAGCTATTCGAGAGACTGAGGCAGGAGAATTGCTTGAACCTAGGAGCAGAAGACTACAGTGAGCCGAGATCATGTCACTGAACTCCAACCTAGCAACAGAGCGGGGGGAAAAAAAGAAAAAAAAATTAGCTCAGTGTGGCCAGGTGCCTGTAATCCCAGCACTTAGGGAGGCTGAGATGGGTATATCACCTGAGGTCAGGAGTTCAAGACTAGACTGGCCAACATGGCGAAACCCTGTCTCTACTAAAAATACAAAAATTAGCCAGGTATGGTGTGCACTTGTAATCCCAACTACTTGGGAGGCTGAGGCAAGAAAATCACTTGAACCTGGGAGATGGAGGTTGCAGTGAGCCAAGATCACTCCAGCCTGGGTGACAGAGAGAGACTGTCTAAAACAAAACAGACAAACAAAAAATAGGTGTGGTGGTGGGTGCCTGTAGTCCCAGCTACTTGGGAGCCTGAGGCATGAGATCACTTAATTCGGGAGGCGGAAGTTGTGGAGTGGAAATCATGCCACTGCACTCCAGCCTGGGCAACAGAATGAGAGAGTGTCTCAAAAATAAAGTAAATAAAATGGTTCAGCTGCTGTATAAAACAGTATGACAGTTCCTCAAAAAACTAAAAATAGAGTAACCATATTGTAAGGCCAGTTGCCTCGCTGGAAGCTTGGACAGGCCCATCCCTCTCCGTGCCTGAAAATTACATCACCAGAATCTGCACTCAACACTAAACTCTGCACTCAGCACCTAGCCAGGCGTTGGAAAAACCTGCCAAAATTTAAAAGAAGCCCTGCCAAAACCTGCCCAATAGCATATTGCCTGGGCAGCCCACTCACCGGAAAACCCACCTACCTACCAATAGCAACTTGCCCCGTCCACGTCCTGTTTCTCCACAGCCAATCAAACGCCTTCACTCCCTATAAAACGCCACGCCTGAAAGGCCCGATTTCCTTGGCCCCTTTCCCCAGGACCATGGAACCTCATCTGTGAGTTAAATAAATTGGCATTTAATTTTCTTATGCTGGCCTCAGTTTCCTCATTTTAAACTCGGAAATAAACCTTACAAGAGAATAAACCTTACACATATATGATCCAGCAGTTCCACTTCTGGGTATATACCCTCCAAAACTGAAAGCGGGGTCTCACAGAGATACTTGTACACTCAGATTCACAGCAGTATTAGTCAAAAAGTCCAAAGTTGGAAACAACCTAATTGTTCATCAGTGGATGAACAGATAAACGGTGCTCCACCCAGACAATGACACGGTATTCAGTCTCAGGAAGGGAATTCTGGCTGGGCACAGTGGCTCATGCCTGTCATCCCAGCACTTTAGGAGGCCGAGGTGAGAGGATTACTTGAGGCCAGGAGTTTGAGACCAGCTTGGGAAAGACAGAAGACTCCATCTCTACCAAAAAAAAAAAAAATTAAAAATTAGCCAGGCGTGGTGGCTGGAGCTTGTAATCCCAGCACTTTGGGAGGCCAAGGTGCTGGGTCACAAGGTCAGTTCAAAAGCAGCCTGGCCAATATGGTGAAAACACATCTCTATTAAAAATAGAAAAATTGGCCGGGCGCGGTGGCTCACGCCTATAATCCCAGCACTTTGGGAGGCCGAGGCGGGCAGATCACGAGGTCAAGAGATCGAGACTATCTGACCATGGTGAAACCCCGTCTCTACTAAAAATACAAAAATTAGCTGGGCGTGGTGGCACGCGCCTGTGGTCCCAGCTACTCGGGAGGCTGAGGCGGAAGAATCGCTTGAACCCAGGCGGAGGTTGCAGTGAGCCGAGATTGCCCCACTGCACTCCAGCCTGGCGACAGAGTAAGACTCAGTCTCAAAAAAAAAAATAGAAAAATTAGCTGGGCATCGTGGTGTGCATCTGTAATCTCAGCTACTCGGGAGGCTGAGGCAGGAGAATCACGTGACCCTGGGAGGCGGAGGTTACAGTGAGCTGAGATCACATCACTGCATTCCAGCCTGGGTGACAGAGTAAGACTCCATCTCAAAAATAAAGGCTGGGCGTGGTGGCTCACGCCTGTAATCCCACCAGTTTGGCAGGCTGAGGCAGGTGGATCACAAGGTCAGGAGTTTGAGACCAGCCTGACCAATAGGGTGAAAGCCATGTCTAAAAGAAATAAATAGGCCAGGGGCAGTGGCTCACACCTATAATCTCAGCACTTTGAGAGACCAAGGCAGGAGGTCAGGAGATCGAGATCATCCTGGCCAACATGGTGAAAACCTGTCTATTAAAACTACAAAAAAATGCCGGGCGCGGTGGCTCATGCCTGTAATCCCAGCACTTTGGGAGGCTGAGGCAGGTGGATCACCTAAGGTCAGGAGTTCAAGACCAGCCTGACCAACATGGTGAAACCCTGTCTTAAAAAAAAGAAACAAAACAAAAACAAACAAACATAATATTTTTGAAAAATGAAAAACAAGGCCAGCCATAGTGGCTCAAGCCTATAATCCCAGCACTTTCGGAGGCTGAAGCAGGTGGATCACCAGAGGTCAGCAGTTCAAGACCAGCCTGGCCAACATGGCGAAACCCCGTCTTTACTAAAAATACAAAAATTGGTCGGGTGTGGTGGGGCACACCTGTAATCCCAGTTACCTGTGAGGTTGAGGCAGGAGAATCATTTGAATGTAGGAGGCAGAGGTTGTAGTGAGCCAAGATTGAGCCACTGCAGTTCAGCCCGGGTGACAAAAATGAAACACCATCTCAAAAAAAAAAAAAAAGAAAGAAAGAAAAGAAAAAAGAAAAGGCCGGCTGCGGTGGCTCAAGCCTGTAGTCCCAGCACTTTGGGAGGCCAAGGCGGGTGGATCACAAGGTCGGCAGATTGAGACCATCCTGGTCAACATGGTGAAACCCGTCTCTACTAAAAACTACAAAAAAATTAGCTGGGCACGGTGGCGCGTGCCTGTAATCCCAGCTACTCAGGAGGCTGAGGCAGGAGAATTGCCTGAACCCAGGGGGCAGAGGTTGCGGTGAGCCGAGATCGCGCCATTGCACTCCAGCCTGGGTAACAAGAGCGAAACTCCGTCTCAAAATAAATAAATAAATAAATAAATAAATAAAATAAAACAAAAAAGAACTCTAGCCATGGATGTCCATCAGTGACAGTGGGAAAGGGAATGTCCTCTCCTCCCCAAAGCCCAACAAGGTGCAGGAGCCGAGACGTCACTAATGGGGACTGCCTTCACCCCACTTCGCCCCAGGAGCCTACTTGTGCTGGATGCTGAGCAGTGAAACCACCCTGGTCAGATTACATGAGGGAGGGACAGCTGCGTGCCTCGAGTTGGGGACTGCACTTACCAGGCTCCAGGCCCAGCTCGAGGGTCTCCTCCCGCACCACCTGCACCAGCATGGCCAGCAGCAGGAAGAGGAAGGCAAAGGTGAGGCAGACAGAGCGCTCGCCCCCCTCCTCGGAGCTGAAGTACAGCCGTGTCACCGTCAGGAACGCCTTGCTGGGGGCTGGAGATAAGGAGGCCTCGGGTGCCACTGCCCCACTCTGCATATTTCACCACGCCCAGCCTGGGACCCCACAACTTCAGGGACAAGCACTGCTGCACAAATAGGCCTTGGGGATGACTTAGGGGAGTGCAGGTTTGGGGTGCTGGAGCCAGATCAGGATATAGGCTGGGGGTTCCTGCTGCACGGGAGATGGCCTCATCAGGCCACTGGTGGCCATTTAGAAATGGTCACCATGGTATGCGTCTATAATCCCAGCTATCTGGGAGGCTGAGGCAGGAGAATCACTTGAACCTGGGAGGCAGAGGTTGCAGTGAGCGGAGATTGCACCATTACACTTCAGCCTGGGCAACAGAGCGAGACTCTGTCTCAAAGAAAAAAGAAATGGCTACCATGTGTGTACAGCCTCCCCCTCTGGGTGACCCTGCCTCTTTCACCCACCTCATCTGCTTCACATCCCTTGGAAAAGCAAGAGAGATAGAAGGGCTTCATCTCCAATCTTCCATCAAAATGCAGCATGGGGGCAAGGCATGGTGGCTCATGCCTGTAATCCCAGCACTTTGGGAGGCCGAGGCAGGAGGATCACTTGAGCCCAGGATTTCAAGACCATCTTAGGCAACATGGTGAGATTCTCATCTCTACCAAAAATAATTAAAAATTAGCTGGGCATGGGGGTAGCACCTGTGGTCCCAGCTACTGGGGAGCCTGAGGTGGGAGAATCGCTTGAGCCCAGGAGTTTGGAGCTGTAGTGAGTCCTGATTGCACCACTGCACTCTAGCCTGGGTGACAGAGGGAGACCCTGTCTCAAAAAAAAAACTACAGGCCACATGTGGTGGCTCCTGCCAGTAATCCCAGCACTTTGGGAGGCTGAGGCAGGTGGATCACCTCAGGAAGGAGAGCAGCCTGACCAACATGGTAAAATCCTGTCTCTACTAAAACTACAAAAAATAGCCGGGTGTGGTGGCACATGCCTGTAATCCCAGCTACTTAGGAAGCTGAGGCAGGAGAAGCACTTGGACCTGGGAGGCGGAGGTTGCAGTGAGACTAAATCATGCCACTGCGTCCAGCCTGGGGAACGAGAGTGAAACTGCACCTGAAAAGAAAAAAAGGCATGGGAATCTGGGGAACCAGTATAGGGCTCCCTCTCCAAAAGTCACGGAAGTGGCATTCTTTCTGTGCTGTCTCAGACCTGCGTCCCCAAAGTCATGTGTTTGCTCTCTTTCGGAGGCCAAGGCAGGAGAATCACTTGAAGCCAGTCAGGACCAGCCTGGGCAACAAAGTAAGACCCTGTCTCAACAACAACAAATATGTACATATACATACATACGTGTGTGTGTGTGTGTGTGTGTGTGTGTGTGTGTGTGTGTGTGTCTATTATTTAATTTTGCCAAGGGGCCATCTCTTTCTTGGCCCCTGATTCTGGACTGGCCTGGTGATTTCCTTAGATGAGGAGAATGTGGTAGAAGGAACAGGGATGGACTGGGTGACTCTCGGCAAGGCATTCCCTCTTGCCTCCTGGCATTTCCACTGCCACCAAGGGGCACGACCATGTGGAGTGGAGATGAACCGATCTGCTGAGCCCAGCCCAGTCTGCCCACCCACACAGCCAGAGCACATAAAACAGCTGCTTCATGCTTGGGAAGTTTGTGTCATAGGAAGTGAAAACTGCCACACCAGTTTACGGGGGGCCAGGGAAGCTGAGGTCCTGCTCCCACTTGCCCCGCTGGCAGGGAGCACAGAGGAAGGATACATGGAGAAGGCCACTGTGAGCAGGCACCAGAACACAGCGATGTTGGTCTCCTTGGCTGGGCCCAGCACGTAGTAGTAGGCCTCCGTGAAGAGGTACACACCGCCCGAGTACACGGCAAAGTCCACGAACCACTGGTACTCCAGGAAGAAGCGCAGGACTACAAGGGGACACTCTGCTCAGCCTTGGGGCCCAGCCGGCTCCCCCAACAACAGAACATTCCTCCTCCAAATCCTCCCCACCCCCATGAGAGTGTGGGGAGCTTCAGGGCTGAGGGAGGGGAGTTTAAGGACAGAACTGGGCTATTACCCAGGGCGTCCACAGTCGTGAGAGGGCAGGTCTCCAGCTGGAACGGGGCATCTCGGGGCACAGACAGTGGCTTCTCCTCACTAAGGCCATCGGCCCATCTGGGAGGATGGTGACAAGGAAGGGGGCTGGTGAGCATGCATCCCACTGGGGCCAGCCACCCTCAGAGCTCAGAGCAGCTGGCCTGGAGACCATCTCTTCCCACAGCCTCCGTTCCTTGCACATGGGGAGGTACTCCAGCCCACCCCCCCATTCCCCCCTCACCCCTGCCATGGGACTGGCTAGAGCAAACTGCCAAGAAACATGCTAACCTGACAGTGACCATCTCCTTGGACTAGGGTCTCCCAGTTCACCTGTGACCAGATCATTGCTTGGAAGTGTGGGCGGGCAGGTCCTGTGTCCCTGAGCCTAGAGTCCCCTGAGAAGCCACCACCCAAGGCTGGGGCTGGGGCCCAGCTCACTCACCGCTCCTTCCTGCCTCTGGGCCTCGGCTTCCCTGCCAGGGCCCGGAGCTCCTCCTCAGATGGGTGCTTGTATCGGAACAGACTGAGAGCAACGACAGGCAGTCAGGGAAGCTCGGGTGTGGGGTTGGGAGGTTGAGGCAGTGAACCTCAAATCCAGGGGTTCGAGTTAGAGGGTGGCCTGGGCCAGGGGGACACCGGGAGGCGGGTGAAGGCAGCTACAGCACAGGGAGATTCTGGGGAAATCATGAGACCAACAGATCTAGGCTAAGTGGGCTCAGGGGCCTTGGATACCCCCGAGTCTGCTAGCTAACTCTCCTGGGGAAGCAGGTATGTGTGACTTTTATTTTTTTTTTTTTGCATGCCACTGCACTCTGTCACCCAGCCTGGAGTGCAGTGGCATGATCTTGGCTCACTGCAACCTCCACTTCCCGGGTGATTCTCCTGCCTCAGCCTCCTGAGGAGCTGGGATTACAGGCACAGCACCAACATGCCCAGATAATTTTTGTATATTTAGTAAAGACAGGATTTCACGATGTTGGTCAGGCTGGTTGGTCTCAACCTCCTGACCTCAAGCAATCCACTGGCCTCGGCTTCCCAAAGTGCTGGGATTACAGGTGTGAGCCACTGCGCCCAGCCATTTTTGTTTTTGTTTTTAAGACAAGGCCTTGCTCTGTCACCCAGGCTGGAGTACAGTGGTGCCATCTCACTCACTACAGACCTGACCTTCTGGGCTCAGTCGATCCTCCCGCCTCAGCCTCCTGATTAGCTGGGATCACAGGTGTGAGCCACCATACCTGGCTAATTTTTAAATATTTTCATAGAGACGGGGCCTTGCCATGTTGCTCAGGCTGGTCTTAAACTCCTGGGTCAAGTGACCCTCCCACCCCAGCTTCCCGCAGTGCTGTGATTATGGGCCTGAGCCATCGTGCATCAGGCCTGGCGTGGGTTTCTGCCTTTGCTTTTGTCATGAACGTTTTTCTCAGGAGAGAATTCAGTTTCCACCAGATTCTCAGAAAGCATCAGAGACCCATACAGGGACAAAAACGAGCAGGTGATCTCTAGCACGTGCAGGGGTGGAAGGAAGGCCAGGTTACAGGGAGGCAGGAGGAGTGGGGATGTGGGCAGTGTGGTGATGGTTCCACCATGTGTACATCTGTCAAAATGGGTCCAGCTGTGCGCTTCAAATATATACAGTTTGTGCCAGGCACGGGGGCTCACGCCTGTAATCCCAGCACTTTGAGAGGCCAAAGCGGGAGAATCGCTTGAACCCAGGAGTTTGAGCAACTGCACAACTTAGCAAGACCCGCATCTCTATTAAAAATTCAAAAGTTGTCTGGGCATGGTGGCACACACCTGTAGCCTCAGCTACTCAGGAGGTTGAGGCAGGAGGGTCCCTTGAGCCCAGGAGGTAGAGGTTGCAGTGAGCTATGATCAGGTCACTGCACTCCAGACAGGGCGACAGAGTGAGACCCTGCCTCAAAAAAGAAAAAACAAATATATGCAGTTTGTTGTACTTAAGTTACACCTCAATAACGTTTTACCCCCATCTCCCCCCGCCCCACCAACCAAAATCAAGGCTGCGCATCCTGTGAGGCGGGCTTGGGGACCCAAAGGGGCGTGGCTCCGCGGGCCCCTCCCACCGCAGGGGCGGGGCTCACCTGCCATTGCAGAGCAGCCACCGCGCGAAGGAGCAGTGTGGTGCCAGCCTGTGCATGAGGGTGGCGGTGAGCAGGGTCACCACCAGCTGCACTCCGAGGACCGCCTGGGGGGAGGGGACATGACTAGCGGCACCTGCCAGAGGGTCATAAGCTCCATTCCTCCCTAGGAATCCAGGCTATTTATAGAAAAGCCAGGCCCAATGGGGGAAGGGCGAGCCTCTTTGGCTCTCGAAGCTTCTTAGGGGAGGGTCCTGGGTTGAGCCTCGACTCAACCCTGGGAGCTCCCCTCACCTAGCTTGGCCCTGCCCTCCCTCGTCAGAGATCAGCACCCTTCACCACCACCACCACCTAGCTGGAGTGTAGGGAGGTGGAGATCATGGGGTTCGCCTCCCACCTCCACTGTGGATTCAGGTATAATACTGATTTCCCGGAGTCTCAGTTTGCTCATCTCGAAACGGGTGCTTCCTATGTAGCCTCCTGTATTCCTCACCACCACCTTCCAGCCCTAACCACGAGCCTCCCACATTCAATGAAAGCGGTTCCCAGCGCCTTCTGCACTCCTCACTCCCGCCCAGGAAAGCCACTGCGTCTCGGGTGCGCTTCTGGCTTTCTCCTTCACCCTGGTAGCTCTTTCCCCTGTCTCTTACCTTAAATGATCCCTGATGGTTCCATCACCCTCCTCCCTCTCCCTCCCTCCCTTTGTAATTAACCTCCTTGAAAGGGTATGTGCACTCCTGGGCACCAGCTGTTTTGGTGTAAAGACTTACATGTCTGAGTGGGGTGACCTTATTTATTTATTTATTTATTTATTTTTGAGACGGAGTTTCACTGTCGTTGCCCAGGCTGGACTGCAATGGCACGATCTCAGCTCACTGTAATCCTTCCCTCCCGACTTCAAGCGATTCTGCTGCCTCAGTCTCACAAGTAGCTGGGATTACAGGCATGCGCCACCACGCCCAGCTAGTTTTGTATTTTTAGTTAAGATGGGGTTTCTCCATGTTGGTCAGACTGGTCTCCAACTCCCGACCTCAGATGATCCACCCGCCTCGGCCTCCCAAAGTGCTGGGATTACAGGCATGAGCCACTGCTCCAGGCCTATTTATTTATTTTTATTTCTGGATTTTTGTTTGTTTGGTTTTGTTTTTTTTTGGGCGGGGGGGGGTGTTGGTGGCGGTGGTGGTGGGAAGAAGAGGGTCTTGCTCTGTCACCCAGGCTGGAGTACACTGGCATGCTGGGGTCCTCGCTGCAGCCTCAACCTCCCGGGCTCAAGTGATTCTCCCACATCAGGATTACAGGAACCCACCACCACACCCAGCTAATTTTTGTCTATTTTGTAGACATAGGATTTCTCCATATTGCCCAGGCTGGCCTTGAATTCCTAGGCTCAAGCAATCCTCCTGCCTTGGCCTCCCAAAGTGCTGGGATTACAAGCGTGAGCCACTGTGTCCGAGCTTTTTTTATTTTTATGTTTACAGATGGGGTCTTTACTATGTTGCCCAGGCTGGTCTCAAACTCCTGGGCTCAAGTGATCCTCCCTCTCAGCCCACCGAGTAGCTAGGACGACAGCCATGCACCAACACACCCAACTAAGACTTTTTTTTTAATAAGGAATTTTCTCACCCAGTTCTTAATTCAGAACACATTTTCATATACTTATTTTTAAACGTTTTAGAAGAATCGGTCTGTGGTGAAGCTCGGTTTTCCTGCTTGAATGCAGTAAATACCCCTTTGCCACCAGTAATCACATAATTATGTAAAATTCTATGCTCAGGAGAACTGCCTGCTAGTATCCAGGTAGCATAATCAAAATGAAATAAAGATTTCATAGTAAAATTCATTATTAAAATAATCCTTTAATCAGGCATAAATAAGCTAAATTTAGGTGGAAAAATCCTAATGTGATGGATACCACACCTAACACGGTAATTCAAAATGACTGCTGAGGCCAGGGGCGGTGGCTCACACCTGTAATCCCAGCATGGTGGGAGGCCGAGGCGGGCTGATCATCACTTGAGGTCAGGAGTTCGAGACCAGCCTGGCTAACATGGTGAAACCCTGTCTCTACTAAAAATACAAAAATTAGCCAGGCATGGTGGCGCATGCCTGTAACCCCAGCTACTCGGGAGGCTGAGGCAGCAGAATTGCTTGAACCCAGAGGCAGAGGTTGCAGTGAGCCGAGATTGTGCCACTGTACTCCAGCCTGGGCAGCAGAGGGGGACTCCATCTCAAAACAAAATAATAAATAAATAACAGACTAATAGGACATTTTCTCCATGCCTGTGACTTGTAAACTGAGACCAGAAATCTCTTTTCAGTAATGAGGTTGATGGCACCACCTTTCTCATCTCTGAATCCTCATTGCTCGCCCTCCTCAGGACCTCAGTGCAGACTGGCTGGCTGGCACTTAAGGACCATGAGTGCCAGTCCCTAGGACCCTGTAAGCTAATGGGCCAGGGCTGTCAAAGCCCCACCCTTCCCCTAGAACCCTGCCCTTCCACCGCCCCCCTCCTCCCCAGGGCCTCCCACTCTTTTCCTCCTCCCTTCCAACCCCTCACCTGTGTCTGACCTGCCAGGGTTTTAACCACCCAGTCGGCCAGCCCATCACAACCTCTGCAGAGCGACACCTCCAGCCCAGACCTCTCTGCTGAGCTCAACCAGCAGCCTCCTCCAGCCTGTCCCGGGAGGCCCCAACACCTGCCCACCGTCCCATATCCCTCCAGGTGACTCAGGCCCTTCCCATTCTCACAGTCAGCACCTAACTCGATCTGCACCCTGCGGGCCCGGCTGGAAATCACCCCTCCACCTCCCCACGGCCCAGCTCTCTCCTCAGCCCTCCCTGCACCCAACCAATGGAGTCTCAGAGGTCTTCCTAGACCTGCTGGCTCTTCATCAACGACCCCTCTACTCGCCAAATCCCCCCTAGGGAAAACGCGGAGGGGTACATCTCTCCATCTAAGCCTCCCAGGGGTCTGTCCAGGGATGTTCTGACAACCCTGCCCTCTAGCCAGCCTCCTATCTCAGAGTCAGAGCTCTGCAGACATCTCCAAGGGTTTTCTGGAGTCTTCCATCAGCTCCTTCTTTCCCCTTCACTGGATTTATGATCCTCGACTCCAAGAACCCTGCTAAAATCAGTGCAGCCTCCCTCCATCTCCTTCCTGAGAGCCGGTGCCCTGATCTCCTACGGCATCCCGCACCTCCGCCTGGGACGACGCCCCGCTTTCGACAATCCCGGCCTTCAGTTCCCTTCCTTCAGGGTCGTCTCCAGCGCCCCTCCTCAGGGGTGGTCCAAGGTAGGGACCCTCTAGTTTCACGTCCCCTCTCTCTGCCCAGGCCGGTCCTGTCGGGGTTGCAGGAGTCCCCCATCTCCCGGCACCAGCCTGGCTCCCCCGGGCTGGGCGAAGTTTTAAGAAAACACTCAATGGGTTGGACCCAGAGCCGCGTGAGTCCTGAAGGTTCCAACTGTCCTGTCTCCCTTGCTCGCCCTGAGGCCACCCAGACCTCCTGGGTTCACTCCCACGGCTTCCTCTGCCCATTACACACACCCCGATACAGCACGGACCCCCCGATGGTCGGCGCGGCCACCACACTCCTGCAGGACCCCCGTCCCCAGAGTGGACCCCACCAGGACCCGACGCCACCTTAGCCAGGCTCCAAATGTGCTGGGGTCCCCAGTCCCCTCCGTGGGACCACGACCCCTCAGCAGGACGCCAGGTCCCTAAAACGTTTCCACAGAACGCTTAGGGACTTCCAATCCCCTCGGTACAACCCCCGCCGACTCCCTCAGGGGTCGTGCCCCGAGAGCAGGGCCCCCAGAGAGGGACACGGCCTTCAGCGTGCAGCCGAATCCCTCAGAGCCTCCAATCCCCAAAAAGAGACCCCATTCCCTCAGTATCTCCCTGGACCGCCTCGGCTGGGCCCCGGCCCTGCAGAGCCCCCCACTTCGCGAGACGCTCGCTCACCATCACGCGTGCGGGAGCGCGGTGCGCGGACCCACCGGCCTGGGTCTCCGGGCACTCTGCGGGAACTCGACCAATTAGAGCCCGACTCTTTTCTGACGAGCATTCGGAGTAACCATTCAGCGTCTTTTGAGCCGGCAAATCACCAGGGACGAGGAGGTCACTCGCATTGCATGCCGGAAATTGTAGTTCAGACGCACTGGTTCTGAGCTCAAAGTCAACATTGTGCCTGGGAAGCCTTTGTTGGCCCACCTCTCTTAAGGCTCAGTCTTCTCTTACCTACACTTATCGCAAAGGTTGGCAGCGAGAACATTTATTCTCACGCACTGTCTCCTAAGGGACATCTCTGAGAGTAGAACTTCCCCAACATCAAGAACATTCGATGGCTGCCACTTAGTAGACAAAGTACTCCTAAGTACTCCATACTCCTTAGTACTCCTAAGTACTAAGTAGATTAGTATTCAGACTGAATTCAGACCCCTGAATCTACTGCTAGCACTACTGTGCACCCTATAGTACAGCTTGCACCACCATGCTCTCTTACCTCCAGGCCTTTGTAAATATCCTACATCTTGCAATGCTTTCAAGAATGCCTCAATCTTAAAATAAAAACAAAACAAAACCAAAACAGACTGCCTCAGTCGTTGTCACCTGGCAAGTGCCTTATTCATCTCTATCAGCCAGGACTCTGGCTGTGCTCTGCAAAATATCAATTAAAATGGGTTCAAGCAAAAAAGGGAAGTTGTTGGCTCATGTGTCAGAAAACAGTAGCTGGAGGGTGAGCTTCAGGCATGGCCAGATCAAGGACCAAATGTTAGTTTCGGGGATCTGATGGTCTTTATTTCAGGGCTAGGAAGAAAGGGCTTCTGGTGTACATGCCTGGGTTTTGCCATTTGTCTTTCTGTAAATGAGTATGTCTCCCTGAGTGTGGATGTGTACTGGGTATGACCAAATGAGCATCTTTATGTGGGTTCCCATGCATGGGGCCCATGTAATTGTCTGCCTTTGCATTTTTACATTTTATTATGTTTTTATGTTTTAATTTTTTTTTTTGAGATGGAGTGCCACCTTTGTTGCCCAGGGTGGAGTGCAATGGCGCTATCTCAGCTCACCACAGCGTCTCCCTCCCAGGTTCAAGCAATTCTCCTGCCTCAGCCTCCCCAGTAGCTGGGATTACAGGCATGCACCACCACACCAAGCTAATTTTGTATTTTTAGTTGAGACCGGGTTTCTCTATGGTGATCAGGCTGGTCTTAAAATCCCGACCTTAGATGATCTGCACTCCTCAGCCTCCCAATGTGTGATTATGGGCGTGAGCCACCGCACCTGGCCTGTATTACTTTTTTTTAAATAAGAGATGGGGGTCTCGCTTTGTTGCCTAGGGTGGTCTCTTATACCTGGGCTCAAGTGTTCCTCTCCCCTTGGCGTCCCAAAGTGCTGGGATCACAGGGGTGATATTTTATTTTATTTTAGAGACAGTTTTTGCTCTCTTGCCCAGGCTGGAGTACAGTGGTGCAATCTCAGCTCACGGTAACCTCTGCCTCCCAGGTTCAAGTGATTCTCCTTCCTCAGCCTCCTGAGTAGCTGGGATTACAGGCATGTGCCACCACGCCCAGCTAATTTTTGTATTTGTAGTAGAGATGGGGTTTCACCATGTTGGCCAGGCTGGTCTCGAACTCCTGACCTCAAGTGATCTGCCCGCCTCGGCCTCCCAACGTGCTGGGATTATAGGCGTGAGGCACCTGTGGAGGTCTTGAAAATGCATCTCTCACATCTCCCACAGTTGCCTTAGGGCTTTGCCTCCCACCACCAAATTTGTGCCTGGGCCACTTTCCCTACAAGTTCTCCTGAGCGGTGACAGCTCCTAGGAGACCTGGGGCCCCTCTAACAGTGACACTGACCCTGGTTCACAACCATGGTGTCCTTGTCTGCGGGTGTGTTTAGAATAGTTTAGTGGCTGGGCACAGTGGCTCACATCTGTAAACGCAGAACTTTGGGAGGCCCAGGTGGGATGATGGCTTGAGTTCGAGACCAGCCCGGGAAAAAAAGCGAGACCCAGTCTCTATTCAAAAGCCAAAAAATAGGCTGGGCGTGGTGGCTCACACCTGCATCCCAGCACTTTGTGGGGCTGAGGCGGGCGGATCATTTGAGGTCAGGAGTTTGAGACCAGCCCCACTAGCATAGGGAAACCCTGTCTCTGCTAAAATACAAAAAGTAGCCGGGCGTGGTGGCGCACACCTGTAATACCAGCTACTCGGGCGGCTGAGGCAGGAGAATCACTTGATCCCAGGAGGTGAGGTTGCAGTGAGCCGAGATCCTGCTACTGCTCTTCAGCCTAGGCAACAGAACGAGACTCCGTCTCAAATAAAAATAAAAAACAGGGTGGTGTGGTGGCTCATGCCTGTAACCCCAGCATTTTGGGAGGCCGAGAGAGGTGGATCGTTTGAGCCCAGGAGTTCAGGAACAGCCTGAGCAACACAGTGAGACCCCACCTCTAAAAAAAAAAAGAAAAGAAAAGAAAAAAAATTAACCAGGTGCGGTGGCACGTGCTTATAGTCCTAGCTGAGGTGGGAGGATCCCTTGAGCCCGGGCTGCTAAGGCTTCAGTGAGCCAAGAGATCCTGTCGGGGCCGGGTGCAGTGGCTCACGCCTATAATCCCAGCACTTTGGGAGGCCGAGGCGGGTGGATCACGAGGTCAAGAGATCTAGACCATCCTGGTCAACAAGGTGAAACCCTGTCTCTACTAAAAAAAATACAAAAATTAGCCGGGCATGGTGGCGCATGCCTGTAGTCCCAGCTACTCGGGAGGCTGAGGCAGGAGAATTGCTTGAACCCAGAAGGCGGAGGTTGCAGTGAGCCAAGATCGCGCCATTGCACTCCAGTCTGGGTAACAACAGTGAAACTCTTGTCTCAAAAAAGAGAGAGAGAGAGAGAGAGAGAGAGAGAGAGAGAGACCCTGCCAAAAAATGAAAATAAAACTAAAGTATGGCTGAGAGGTAGAACAATTTGTTTTATTTCTCTCTCTCTCTCTCTCTCTCTCTCTCTCTCTCTCTCTCTCTCTCTCTCTCTCTCTCTCTCTCTCTCTCCCCCTCCATCCCTCCTTTCTCTTTGAGAAGGGTCGTGTTCTGTTGTCCAAGCTGGAGAGCAGCGGCGTGATCTTGACTCACTGCAAGCACCACCTCCTGGGCTCAAGCAATCCTCCCACTGGAACACGCAGCATGCCGGGCTAATTTTTAAAGTTTTTTTTTGGAGAGATGGGGTCTCCCTATATTGCCCAGGCTGCTCTTAAAGTTGTGGTCTCCAGGGAGCCTCCCTCCTGGGTCTCCCAAAGTGCTGGGATCACAGGTGTGTACTGTACACAAAAGTGAAGGCTTTTGGCTTCCCGCTCCCTCCCTCTATCCGCCTTTTGTCGCCGGCATTCCCTACGCCCCCTGACTCCTCCTCGTTTTCGGGCCGCCGGCGCCCCAGCCGCAGCCAGGGACCTCCTCGTGTGGGGGTGGGGGTGGGGGGTTCGCCGCTGCTGCATCGGGGGCTCTTGAGGAATCCACGCGGCAGGTTGAGTTTCCACGGCTATACCACCCTGAACGCGCTCGATCTCGTCTGATATCAGTAGCTAAGCAGGGTCGGGCCTGGTTAGTACTTGGATGGGAGACCGCTGTAGCTGTAGGCATTTTGGCTTTCCTCTCTCTCCTTCCTCCTTTTGTCGTCTGGCTTCCCAACCGCCCCCTGATTTTTTTCTGCCCGCCGCAGCCCGGGACGTCGTGAGGTCGGCGCCGCCTCTGCAGCACCTCTGGCTCTTGGGGCAACCAGGCGCCACCTCTGGGGTCTAGGTCCTTACCACCTTAAACCCGCCAGATCGCTGATCTCAGAAGCTAAGCAGGTGTGTAATCCCAGCACCTTGTCCAGGGAGGACAAGGGCACACATCCCTTCCCCCTTCCTCTCCTTCACAAGAGGAGACCCTGGGTCCTCTGACACAGAGCCTGAAAACATGAGGCGGGGCCTCCTGAAGGATTTGCTTGATTTATGATTATTTCTATTTATATTTTGTTTTATTTCTTTATTAATTTTTTTGTTGTTATTTTGAGACGGAGTTTCGCTCTTGTTACCCACGCCGGAGTGCAATGGCGCGATCTCGGCTGACCGCAACCTCCGCCTCATGGGTTCAGGCAATTCTCCTGCCTCAGCCTCCTGAGTAGCTGGGATTACAGGCGCCGACACCATGCCCAGCTAATTTTTTGTATTTTTAGTAGAGACGGGGTTTCACCATGTTGACCAGGATGGTCTCGATCTCTTGACCTCGTGATCCACACGTCTTGGCCTCCCAAAGTGCTGGGATGACAGGCTTGAGCCACCGCGCCCAACCTTTTTGTTTTATTTTTTGAGACAGTTTTGCTCTTGTTGCCCGGGCTGGAGAGCCATGGTGCCGTCTCCGCTCACTGCCTCACACGTTAGAGTGACTCTCTTGCCTTAGCCCCAGAGTAGCCAGCATTACAGGAACGCGACTAATTTTATATTTTTAGTAGAGACAACATTTCTCCATGTTGGTCAAGCTGGGCTCGAACTGCCGACCTCAAGTGATCCGCCTGCCTCAGCCTCCCAAAGTGTTTGGATTACAGGCGTGAGCCATCGCGCCCAATATTTATTTATTATTGTTTTATTTATTTGTTGAGGCGGAGTTTCCCTCTTGTTGCTGAGGCTGGAGTGCAATGGCCAACCTCAGCTGATCTGACCGCCTGGGCCTCCCAAAGTGCTGGGATTACAGGCGCGAGCCTCCCCACCCGGCTTATATTTTACTTTTTTAACTTTCGACTGGCAACTGCTGAATCCAAAGTGCACCATCCCACCCCACCTCGTGATGGAGAGCAAATGCCCAGTGACCCTGGGATGGGGAAGCGGAACCAGTCTCACCGTGGCCCTGGGGCTCCCAGTCTTAGCAAGCAGCCCGAAGTTTAATGAAGCTCACACTGGGTGCTTAGCCTGTGGGCACTGACATCAGGGACCGACCTGACTTCTTGTCCACTGTGAGGGTGAGATCCAAAGGCTGTGAAGACCCTTTCTCTCCCACCATGCCTCAGTTTCCTG